TGTCACAGTGGTCATTCCATAGAGTTTGTACTAGCTTGTTCATGTTGTATTTGTTTGTTTTCTTTGAAATTGAGCACAAAGCTACACAATGAGCTATCTGTGCTCTGCCCAACACGGTATCGAAACCCGATTTCTAGCGTTATAAGTCCACAGACGTACCGCTGTGCCACTGGGGGGCTTCATGTTGTAAGGTTATACTTATGGTTTTATTTATCGTTTATTTATTTTTCCATCTGTCCTTTGGCTCAGCTATAATACTTTAAAAACGCTAGCTCACATTAAAACGTCTATGTACATTAAGGGAGCCATTTTATATTAAGAAACAAACATGTTAAGTTGTTAGACATGTGATATGTGATTATTGTTGTTTTGTCTGTGTTTTTTATTAGTATTTTGTGTGATTTGATATTAACAATGTTTATTGTATGTATGTTTGTATTTGAATTTGAGATTGAGATATTTAGTACAAAATCCTAGTCAGGTGCTTCTTATTAATTATTGATAGGTAATAGTTGATAAAACTTGTGTTCAATAAATTTGTAATTTATCTTGCCGTGATAGTACCGTACTTGTCCGATATTTTATATTAATAATGTGGATGTTTGCTCGTTACAATATTTCTCCTTCAGCTCGACCCTGAAGTGATAGTCTCAACAAAGTGGAGGGATGATACAGAGTTTTGTACAATTTAGTATAAGCTAGAAATTAATTTGCTTTTTTTGTAAAGTGGAAATTATCATTGATGTAAGACTATTAGATATTAGCAGCCAGAAAGGTTGCTCGAAAGTTGCCATTGTTGTAGTAAAGTCATGTTATCTCCTATTTATGTAACAAATAGATACTACTTTGTTTATTTTTTGTTTTAAACAGAGGAGAGCGATAACTGGCATGTTTTACAAAGGGCAGAGCAAGGACTGGAACGTCACACTTCCTAGCTCCAATCTATCAGTTTTATTAATTAACATCAATTAAAACTCACAAAGTTTCTTGAGCCACGGATATCTGTAAAAAAAAAAAAAAAAAAAAAAATTTCAAAGAAACTCAGCAATCTAAAATAATATGAAAATGACCCAAAATTCGTAACCAGTACATCTAGGAAATTTATTTAAATAATTCATATATGTGTCAGAAATGAAGAGATTAAAAGAGATTTTCCAACTATACTTCAAATTTTTAGTTTTATGATCTGTAATAAATATTATAATCCGGAGAAGTTATTAATATTGTATCTGTGTTTGTTGGTTGCCTAGTGAGTGTATTAAATATTTAAGCGCGTGAATATAGGTTACAACTAATTTCTATAAACTTTCACGAAACACTTTAGCTTACTAAAGAAGTCATTATTTAGAGATTACACTTTTTAAACGAGAGATGTAATCGGAACTAACGATGGTAAATATTAAATCATTTATATACATTTCTATTCTTAACAACAAAATAACAATAACGCCGCATCCAGGTGGCTAAGTTGTAAGCTTGGGGTCTAATAATGCTAAAATTCGATCTCTGCAGTGGGCACATCCCACATAGCTCATTATGAAGCTTTGTGCTTAACAACAAACAAACAATAACGCCATATATTTTGTTCAACAAATACTATATATTTTGTAAGTACTCTGATCGTTCTAGGTGAGCGTTATTTGATAATATGTTTGAACAACATTGAAACGTTTATTTACTAACATAAAAATAAAACAAAACTTTTGTACCAATTGCAATTGATTAATATAATTTTTGATCTTAGAGATAATAGTTTGATTAAATTTCTAAGCTCATCTAACAATGCTGGAATCGGCTTTGAATGGTTTATCTACATAAATATAATAGTACTGTCTGTTGTATGTTATACGTCCATGTAACTACTTTGCGGGGTGTGGATGGATCTTCCCCAAAATTGGTACATACAAATTTTAAGTTTTTCGTTTTGCGGTTTTTATGGGCATTTTTGCGTTTTTACCACTATTACGTCCTCTGATGATGAATCTTCACCAAATTTTGCATGAAGGTTTGTTTTTTCTATGCGGAGATACATGCAAATTTGTAGTTTGTGTTTTGCAGTTCTGCCTTTTCTGTGTTTTTTACAATTACATATAAGAGAAGCAACTTTTCATGTCCCAAGATAACCTTTCACTAATCATGAATTTACATAACTTACGTCCAGGGGACGGGTACTCCAGCTAGTAGTCCAATAATATACAGTCCCAGTACCAACTAATTAGAGTATTGGATGGTATTTGCGTAGGAAGGAGGGAGTAACGACATTTTAGGCCCCCTCCTGACCAGCACCGGCTCTGATTATATGCCAAAATTGTATATATTACACACTAAAATTCACAAAAAGGTGTCTTTTGTTCTACCTTATGAAACGTTAGAAGCGGCAGTTTTGATAACAACGTACAACTGAACTTTGTAACAGGACTTTTTAAATTTCAAACCATATTCATTATAATCAGCTTTTAAATCGTTTGAGAAAAAAGCTTGCACGAATTACACGTATTTTTTATTATTCGTTTAGAAAACTTTTTTTGTTTTTTACTTGCTTGCTTGCTTGTTTTGAATTTCGCGCAAAGCTTCACGAGGGCTATCTGCGCTAGCCGTCCGTAATTTAGCAGTGTAAAACTAGATGGAAAGCAGCAAGTAATCACCACCCAAAGCTAACTCTTAAGCTACTCTTTTACCAACGAATAGTGGGATTGACCGTCGCATTATAACTCCCCCACAGCTGAAAGGGTGAACATGTTTGGTGTGACGGGGATTCGCACTACCCGCAGATTGCGAGTCGAGCGCCCTAACCACCTGGCCATGCCGAGCCGTTCTTTTTTGCAATAAATAGATTTGGAAACAAATATTGGTAGTAAAGCACCAACTCACCAATATGGCACTCTGCAACAAATATAAACGAATCGTGAAATCAACCGTTTCTATTTACTAATGTGTAGCTCTACCTCGAACTGATTGAAGGCACTGTGACATTTACCTGATAACACAGGCCTACGAATTTAAACTTCATAAAAGTTGTTTTGGTTTTAATAACGGATTTTCCATAATTCAGCTACGCAGATTTCGAAAATATTATTCTTTTTTTTTTCTATCACAAAGGTAGAACGATCGATAAGACTCTCACGTCGCGATTGGTCTAGAGATATCTATAGCCAGTGGTTGTCAATATTTTAAGCATAACAAAATGTGCCTCCGATTTCAATTAAAATTATTCGCTTATGTCGAAGTACATATGACGTTTTGTGAAAAATCCGTACGCGATGAAGAAAAATGGATATCATTTTCGGATTCAGCTTACAGGAATTACTGTAGAACATGTAAAAGTTTGAAGACAGTAAAACCATCGCAGGCCTGTGTAATATAAGGACATTTGTTTTATGAAGTTCTCTGTTAAATGCATATTTTTTGCGTGATTTAACTAAATCAAAAGACAGTTTTGTCTATTTAATAATCGAGTCATTGTTAGAGTATTGTGATGCAAGCTGTATTTGAAGTTTGATATGGATTTAAAGTTTCAACAGCAAAAGTAGATATTATAGTATATAACAGCTTAAATATTCCTTTCATCAAATACGTTTGTTTGTTTTTGAATTTCGCGCAAAGCTACACGAGGGCTATCTGCGCTAGCCGTCCCTAATTTAGCAGTGTAAGACTAGAGGGAAGGCAGCTAGTCATCACCACTCACCGCCAACTCTTGGGCTACTCTTTTACCAACGAATAGTGGGATTGACCGTCACATTATAACATCCCCACGGCTGAAAGGGCGAGCATGTTTGGTGGGACGGGGATTAGTGTCCCTGGAAAGAAAGAAAGGAAATGTGATAACTACTAGAGAAATACCTGTACTCTGCTATGGGGTTCAAAAATCCCCAGGCCGAGACCGCCTGCCAAGTTTAGCCCCGAAAGCGTCAAACTGTGGGAGGAGTTTGTGGACAAACAAACACACAGCGTGAATTAATATTGGATACTAGGCCACCGTGACCCGTTGGGTCAACCACTATTCAGAGGTTATGAAGAATTCAAGCTAATTTCAATATTGCACCGAAATGAAGGTTTATTTTGAAATCATTTAAATAAATATTTCAGTTGATTCGTGTTATTCATAATTCAAAAAAAGATATTTGATTATTGATCGGGAGTAAAAGGAAAAACCATTTTTCAAAAAAGTGAAGTAAGAAGTTTCGCAAAGAGTGCGAACGGTAGTGTGAATGATTTTTTGACTGAGAAAATAAGCAAACAAACAATCTCAGAGTTTTAGTAGTATATAGATAGATTCTTCAAGATCTTG